TCGCATCATTAGAGAAATAGTCTATTATTTTTAGGACTGTCTTTTTTATGTCTCATAACTAATAAGAGGTCAGGTAATCTTCAAATCACGAGTTTAGCAAGGGAGTGAGTAGTAAATTTGGATCTGATGTACATTTTATAATTTGTTAGTTTGATATTCCCTCCGTTCCTAAATAAACTTCCAACTTTCCTTTTTCGTCCGTTCCAATTAAAACTTCAACTTTCTTTTTTTGGTAAAGAATTTGTGGTTCACAACATTTCTTACACATTTCTCTCTCCTCTGCACAACTCTCCACCACACAATATCAACTATCTTAAACTTTGTGCCAAACCCATTTGGAAGTTAAAATGGGAACGAAGGTAGTATTCGTATTATTATACGCAATTTCGGTTAAAAACAAAAAAATGATAAATTTGAAAAGTTAGTGTAGAGCATGTTTGGTAGTCTAACATTTTATCATCTAATTTTTTTATCAATCACCCAATGTTAATTTTACATGTATAATCTAGACTCAAGTAGCTTTCTAGTTAAACTTACTGAATAGCACTCTTTCAGTTTTCTCATCAACTTTTTCTTTAATTCATTAATAGAATATTTTTCTTCATGACCCAATAGGTTTAGGCAATTGCGCCTTTTAATATAGGATTTCAAAATTTTCGGCTGATCAATCGATTCGTTAACTTTAATGGTCCAAACAAGGTCTAAGAATTTGACTTTTTGAAGACTACAAATATGTTGACATGAATTAATTGTCTTGTTTGCTTTTGCACAAGTTTTAAGAAAGTGGTTGAAAAGGTAAAAGTTGTGGTTAAGATTTGAATAGAAAAAATGTGAATTGATATAAGTCACTCATTATTGTCAAAAGAGGAAACACGATAATTATTTTGGGACGGACCGAAAAGGAAAGCAGGACATTTATTTCGGGACGGTGAGAGTATTTAAGATGTTTTTACATGGATTGCAATTTTTCTGGTTTGGTCTGATTTAAATTTGTCTGTTCTGATAACAATACAAATTTGACTTGATCTGATACTGAACACATTCCAAGTAAAAACATCATTAATTACCCTTAAATAGTCCATACCAAGACTTAATTAGATAAGATTAGATTTGGATAAGAATGAAATATTAGACGAGCAAATCGCCATGATGCATTATGTATGGTAAAACATCTGATTCTACGGACGATATCCAGGCTTCTAATAAATGGTGTCCAACTTATTACGCCGTTGACTGATTTCAAAACCACACAATATGATTACCTTTCAACTAACTAAGCATTGTTTTCAACTAAAAAGACTCCTCGAAATGATTGTAATTTGTAGACATTCGTTCTTGTAAAGCGGTTACTCCATCGGACCAAATCTTCTTCACCATTTTTACTATTTTGTGTGATCATCACAAAGCATGCATATCTTATGAATAAAAAATATATTGATGTTCAAATAGGATTAAAATTATGGCAAAAACCTAAAATAGGACTTGCTATGTTTTTATTCCAAAATAGGACCATATGAGTCCTATTGGAAACATACCTATTTTTGCATTCCATTCTTACCCTTCCATTAAATATGAATTAAAAATAGTCAAAAGCCATAATTAAATGTTTAATTCATAATAAATTCGAAAAAAATCAAAAATTCGTAGAAATATAATTTAAAAAATTATAAATTTTTTATAAAATAAAAAATTCAAAAACTTTTTTTTTAAATAATTTTATTTTTAAAAAAATTAATAAAAAATAGTAAAACTCCGTAAAAAAAATTTAAAAAAATATGGATGCCTTTCCCACCGCCTGTACTACCTCCCAACACCACCACCTCCGGCCGATGAAAAAAAATGCCATTTTCCCAGAAAAGTGGCATATTTCTCTTTTCGAATGCCAACATTTTCATTTTTTTTCTGCCATAAATATGGCATTCGTAATGAACTTGGCATTTTTTCCCCTGGTGACTGGAGGTGGTGGTGGTGAGGCGGCAGAGGCGGCGGCAATTTTTTTTGAGTTTTTATTTTTTTTTAATTGTTTTTTAATTTTTTTAATTTTTTTTAAAAAAAAATTAATTAAATTTTTAATATCGAAATGTTTTTCTTAATTTTTTAGTATTTTTACGAATTTTTATTATTTTTTATTATTTTATTAGGAATTAAAACATTTTAATAGTTATAAGGGTATAATTGTCCAAGGTACGCATAATTAGTCCTATGCAAACATAGTTCATTTTTTGGTCCTATTTGTGAAAAGTGAATGACTTTTAATCCTATTTTGATAATTAACTCTAAAAAATACTTCCTCCGTCCCACAATTAAATTCCTAGTTTGACTTCTACATATTAAAGAAATAAATATATTTAGGAGTAAATTTTACTGTTGAGTACACAGTTGTGAGACTATTTGACATTGTTTCGGTACTATTTTGCACTGTTTTAGTGTAAATTTGTTTGCGAAATAAGAAAGTGTGAACTTGTTTGGGACATTCCGAAAAGGAAAGTGACAACTTAATTTGGGGACGGATGGAGTATATAAATAGAGTTGATGAATAAAATGCGATTTTTAATACACAGTCAACATAACAGTAGTTTAATACGTAGTAATTACGATGTCCAATTATATATTCAATGACAATAATAATGATATACTCATAACAATTTTGGTCACATTTTTGCCTACCCTTTGATTTTGTTGTTTAATATAAAAAGATAATAAGGAGAACAAATTAGGGAAGGGAATTTTCTTAGCCTGTGTTTGGATGAGAGATTTGAGATGGAAGGGAAGGTATTGACGAATAAAAAGAGATATTAATTTCATTCTTACATTGAGATAGCTTCATTACAAATTACAACTACATGGAGATGGTAAAATTAAAATCTAGAAATAACAAAGGCTAGAGTTATGGTGCCGGTTTGGTAACACTGAAATTGGCTGAATCGACTGATTCTGCTAAAATTTATGAAGTTCTGACTGAAGTGACTGTATTCTACTGATTTATGAAAAAAAAAAAAACTTATACTCCCTCCGTCCCCCTAATATTGGTACGGAAGGGAGTGATGTGGTTTTTAAGAAAAGTAGAATTATGTGGTTGGTAATGAGTTGATAAAATGGAAATAAAGTAAGAATGAATTAGAGCCACACAAATGTTACCAAATATGGTATGGGACAATAATAAAGGGACATCCAAAAATGAAAAAATGGGACACTTATAGAGGGACGGAGGGAGTATCTAAATTAAAATACTTTTCATTAATAAAATAAAGAAAAAATTATATGAAAAATTAGCTAAAATGATCATCCACAGTAATTTCAGCCAATGCAGCCAGAAAAGTAACTTCAACCTTACTTATTTTGATTATTACACAATTCAGCGCACGAAATCAAAAGTTACGTGTTTGGTGAAACAGTTGGCTGATAAGGATGATAAGCCAAAAAAACAAAGTTACCAAACAGGCTCATATGAATTACATTATCTAGTTAATTCAGATGCAATTTAATTAGTCCATATGTGATTAGTTAATTACATTTGTACATGCTGAGACAAGTCCAAATGTAACTTACACATCTGAAAATGTTGCGCATAAGAAGATTTAGCTCATGCATAAGAAGATGTAACTCACGCATAAGAAAATGTATAACTCGCGGAAAAGAAGATGTAAGTCTTGCATAATTAGATGTGACTCGCACATAAGAAGATGCAACTTCATATATTATCAAACTTAACTCCAAGAATCAAAATAAACAAACTCAATGTCTTAAAAACCTCTAAACACATATAAAAGAGATAAAAAATACTTCGTATTATAGAAAAAGTGTATGAATATAAAAAATATATTACAAAAAATGTATGAATATAAAAATATTACAAAAATAAAAATAATGTATGAATATGAAATGCAATATACTTGTTTTATTTAGATTATTAATTTTTTTTTGTTATGAATTGATAAAGAATAAAAAATAGATTTAGTTGTATTGTTGTAATATAAGTTGAAGATAAAGAAAAATGAAATTACAATTATATTTTTTTACTTTGAAGAGAAGGAGAAGAAAACAAAAGTAAAGAAGAAAAAGCTAAGGAAAAACCATAATGACGTACTCCACTGCTCCACAAAAGAAAAATAAAGGATGGGAATAAGTATTATTGTGTCAGTGGCATATATGGGTACACTCTTAGCACGGTGTGGCGATCCCACCATATAATTTGCTAATAAACATATATAGATTAACAAAACAAAAGTTAATAGTTTCTCCCAACAAATGGTAAGAACAAAGGGCTAGTAAATCTTAAACTAAATAGCATGGGTTGCATGCAATATCTCATTCACCGAGAAATGAAATCAAGACTTGGTACATTCGGAAGAATTTAAATTCTAGTACTTCGAACTCCTTATTCAAGTATTCAACTACTTATTAAGAATGAAGATTTCAGTTAAATTCTTTTTTAATAACTTACAAACAATTCACTTATCATTTTTAGACTAACTAATATCAGGTCAGCCCTTTAAATACTTTACTTGTTAGTTTTAGACTAGCTCATATCAGGCAAAACTATACTACAATCTTATGAGATTGTTCAAATATATGTAAAAATGCATAAGTCTGTACTGAATTGGATTAGTAGTGTCTTATTCACTATCTGTCAGCTTGTAATTAAAATCCAATTTTCATTCTCCCAATTAATTGTTCGACCGGTGCTAGGGATCCTTAGGGATGAGGGTCATTTTTTAGATGGTTCAAATCAAATCAAACATAATTTCACAAATTGAGATCTCCATGACACAAACTTCTTTTGAGTAACTTCTCGCTTTGTCACATAGTAAGTCATGGTCTTCCAAAAAGCATTGCTTGCAAAACTCACAAGTCATGAAAGATGTATTTCCCGCGTAAACCACCGTTTTAACTTTAACAAAATTAATTTAAGCAGAAGTTCTCACCTGAAAATGCCAAATTTGAACTTTTTAAAATAAAAGTACAAAAACACGCTTTTTTAAGTTTTCGCAAACACTATCTAATTAAGCGTATGAACGAAGTTTCAACACACATCTAGAGTCTAGAGACAACAATAATCCTAAAGCTTGAGTTGAATAGTCCCTCTATGAAAATCTTTATGGGAGAAAACAAATGGGACCATTAAGTTTGGGGTTAGAAAGAAAAAGTAAATCACACATATCATGCGGGTAGCTTTACAGTTCATTTGGAACATATTTAGTCCGGTACGACGATACCAAACCATAGCAACCAATTCCAATGGTCTTTGTTCAAACCAAATTAATCAAAGCTGCTCTGCTCTCTTCTCTTTCACCAATCTCAAGATTTCCCATATTGTTCTATATGTAATAAGAGCTTATAAGACAATTAACCACACCCTTTAATTAATCATCATCTTCTTCCTTGAACTTCATCCATTCAACTAGCAAAACAAACTACAGGATTTCAGCTGCTATAATGAACATAGACAAGAAACAGTCTTTCTTGAGTGAGGAGGAAGAAGTATTGCAGATTGGTAAAGCAGAATCTGTAATATCAATCCCTCAGGTCATACCACCTACACTTCCCTTATTCTTCAATTCTGATAGTTTCTCATGAAGTATGAGATTAATCATGTTTTTCTATACTGAAATTACTCATATCTCTATTACTTAAGTTCCACCTGAAATTCTGAAAATTGTGCTAAGGACAAATGTATGTAGGTCTATATAATTGACATTTGAATTTGAATTTGCATTCTTTTATTTGACTAATATGAGATAGAATATGAATTTATCATAGTGAATTTTCCTTCCCATGCTCAAATTTTGAAATTGAGGTTCTTGAGTTCATCATATTCTAATTTGTATTCAGCCTATATATGATAATACGAGTTCATAATTTTGAGTTCATATATTTATTTTAGCTAATATCAGGTGGGTTAACAATGTATTGTTATATTTTAGCCTATATAGTACTACCTCCGTCCCGTTGAAAGGTTCCCGTGACAAAAGGATATGGTTATTTAGACAATAATTAAATAAGGTAGTTCGAGTATGTTTTGAGAAAAAATTTTAATAGGGTATATATTATAATGCGGTTAGTGTTGATAATTGTGATGTTATAAATGTATTTTTTATATATATAATGATTAATTTATCATTTAAGATTGTTAATTGTTTTGTAAAATAGATACTAGAACTTTTATATGGGACATCAAAAAAAAGAAAAGTGATGATCTTTCAATGAGACGAACGGAGTATATCCGAGTTTATGTTTTTATATTTGCCATATTTCCGGATAAGTGAACAATTTCTCCTACTCGATTTTCTCATGATGCAGTTTGAAGTTCAAAATCATACTACAATTTCTTGTTTGTAATTAGATTGTCAAGAGTATAAGGCTTTATATTTATATATTTGACTATTATAAGATAATTTAACAACTTATAAGAGTAGATTTTCTCAAACCCCTTGATTTTGAAGTTGAGTTTCATACTCTAGTTTGAATTTGGTATTGAGTTTACAATTTACACAATGGATCTTCTCTATGATTTTGAACTTGAGATTCATACTCTAGCTTTAATATGTTCTTGGTCTATAATACAGGGCCAGAGTTCCTCTGGAGGAAAAACAGGAGAAATAACACAAGCTACAAGTGGAAAGAAACCAGACATTTCTCTGGAAATACCTCCAAAATATAATCAGCCATATGAAGGTAGTGAGCAAATTAGGATGCGTTTGACGCCTACCCAAACTGGAAAGAAAGTTAATTTCCATTTGAATTCGAATCCTTCTTCTGATAAGAAGGTACATGGATCTCCAGGCCTGTTACCTCCAAGGGTCAGCAAATCATCTTCATCATCCAAACGGAACTTACTGCCCAAACTCAACTTCATGTCCAATAATAGTGGCTCTAATCACTTGGAAATGGAGAAACCAAGCCCAGACAATGAATCGGGTCAAGAAGAGAATAAGGTATCAATTTCGAGATCTTGGTCTCTGTCGAAAATGTTTGCGCCGGGAATAAGGAGGACATCTTCTTTACCCATTTCTAAGAATGGGAAATTGATGTCCGGTGGGGGAGGTGCCGTGATGGGTGGTAATAGTCATTGTGTGGCGGCGGCGGCGGCGGCCATTAGTGCTTCTCCGACTTCATCGAAAGGAACACAGCAAGTCCATATCCACCGTTCAATTTCTCTCCCGGTGGTGAATAAAGAAGGGAGCAACCGCAAAGTGGAAGCTTTCTTCCGGGTCATTCCATCAACGCCTTGTTTGAAGGAAGCAGATTCCATTGCTTCATCCACTATTCCGGCGGGAGATTCTGGTAATTCATCCAATTTAATCTTGTTAAAATATTTGAAAATTGTCATAAAATAGGAGTAAAAACGTTTTGTAATTTTAAAATATGTTTGCTTTATGTTTATATCTTGAAATAGGAGTTATGACAATATTGTCATTTTGGATTTATTACTTCCAAAATATGTGTTTACACAATTTTGGAGTAGTATGTTTACTTACAAGAAATTTTAGAGAGATATATGATTCCACTATGAAGTGGCTATGATGATGCCACACATGACATATGACTCCATTGTCAAGTCATATATGTCTCCCTAAAATTTCCCGATGTTGTACTAGCATTAACATGACACTGTCATTAATGACTATTATTTTAAAAATAAAAACATAGTAATCATATTCTAGAATTTCAGAATGTTTTTACTTTAAACAATTTTCCTAAAATATTTTTCACACCAATAAAATATGAACTAATGAGTTACTCCCTCCGTCCCATTAGGAGGTTCCAATTACGGTTTACGATGTTTGACTGATGATAAAGCAACTTAATCCTTGCTCACACACAAATTATTTTTAGAGAATAAAATTTACATATTAAGAAATTACATTAAAACCGCTACAAAGCCTGATAAAGAAAATGTAAATTTGATAAAAATTTGATATATAAAGCAAAAGATTAAGAATGATTTAAGTTGACCATGTGAATAGTGGACGAGAATCTTTGAATGGGACGGAGGGAGTACAATATAAAGTCATCGGATCACACCTTCTATCAGGTTCACCCTTTAAGATCGAACACAGAATCTTGACAATTGACATGGTCTTAGAGTTAAATCAATCTGCAACCATGGTCCGAACCTCTATAGATAAAATGACAACTATGAAAATCGACGAAGTGTTTGATCGTGAGCAAGGGTATTAAAGTATTTCCAACATCGACAAAATATTAATATTACTAAATTATATTCAAAAGACAAAAATATGACTTATTTTAAAATTTTCCAAAAAAGTGAAATATTTAGTAGCAACCAACTCCCAGTAACCTGACACTGATTTACACAACAATGATTGTTGTGACTAATAATATTTTTGTGCAAAAACATAATTAGTCATATTTTTATGCGGGAAAACTTTGTTAGTAATATACATTGTCATTTTTTCATGAATAAATACTCGATATGGAACTTTAAAAGTGTGTTGTAGGTTTTTCATCCCATCAATTATGAAAATATGTCAATTAACTTTGACATTTGAAGGAATAAAAAACAGTATATATAATTAAACTTTGTTTTACACTAGAGTGTTGACAACAAGAACGGCTAATATGATTTACTCATTTGGGTGAGAGAAGAAATACATATACCGAGTATTTGGTTTTGTTATTGTAAGTATCAAAGTTGTTATTGTAAGTATCAAAGTGAGAGTAAAACATAGGGGTGCAAACCTTAGCAAATAAAGTGGAAGGGAGACCTTGGTAGGATCAATAAAGTGGAAGGGAGACCTTAGTATCATTCACATGAATGAGGAAATGTGTACTACATTGTTTAAGTTTAGCTTAGAAGCCTAATCGTTAAATTAGATGGGAAAGTGATGACAAGGACAGATGTACTTTTGAATGCAAAAGGTACTTTTGAATGCAAAAGGTTCTATTTCAAAAGGTTCTGTGATTTTTTGGGAGAATGCGACTTTGCACCCTATATTTTGGGTGATATTTAATTTTGAACCTTATTTTCAAAATCATTAATGTATGCACCCTAATTCATTATAAAATCATTTGACTTTGCATCCCATTAATTCACAATTTTTGAGCTAATGAGGTGCATACATTAATGATTTTAAAAATGGGGTGGAAAGTCAAATACCACCCAAAACATGGAGTGAAAATTCAAATCCCCCATTGCAAAAAGAATCAAGATGAATTTTCACTTTTTCCAAACATTAGTTGTTCACATAATCACATATCCACCATTCAATCACATAGCATGTTTTTATGTGGTCTGATTTTCATTCCTTAGATCAGAAAACAAACCAACTCAGATTTAAACACATCAAAGCATACTTGTATGAGACTCAAACAGACCACAAGTCATATTAGATTCAAAAATTTCAATCCAAATGAAAACGTATATGTTACTCCGTATTTCATTTAACTTTAAAACCACGAACATATTAAACTGTCAGTTTAGATAGATTTTAGAATAGGGTAAAAATGTAATATTGGGCTTAAATTTTGTAAAAGATTTGAATTTTCCCTCTAAAGTCTAAACTTGTAAATGCACCTTCCCAAAGGGAAAAGATCCCAAACTATAGCTTATGACTGTTATATCCGATTAATAGAAGATCAAGAAACACAACATAGCCAGTCCATTAGAAGTGAAGTGAAGTGTATGCTAATGACCTTTTGATCATTGATTTGAACGCAGAACACTTGCTTATTTATTTGTGCAGCAGAAGCGAATGAGGATGGCGGTGAGGACATAGCTGAAGAAGAGGCGGTTTGCCGAATCTGCTTAGTCGAATTGTGCGAAGGGGGCGAGACGCTGAAGATGGAATGCAGCTGCAAAGGTGAAATGGCACTTGCTCACAAAGAATGCGCCATTACATGGTTCAGTATCAAAGGAAACAAAACGTGTGATGTCTGCAAACAGGACGTCCGCAATCTCCCTGTCACTCTACTCCGTATTCAAAGCATTAGAAACCCAATTTCTGTTGCAACTATGCTCACTGAAATGGAAATAAATGGACACAGGCAAGTCTCTTCTCCTACTTTCTTATTGGAGAATGTATACAATTTTTTTGAAAGAAATAGAATAACTTGTTAGTAAAATTAATAGGACTAGTTTAGCCAAGTACATTTTCAGTTTCCCCATTTTTCTCGTGTAAGAAATCCAATATTTGTTGGGACTTTTTTTGGGTATATCAAAAAAGAAATAAATATTGTCTCTTTGATCACAGGGTCTCACAAGAAGTGCCCATTCTTGTCATAGTAAACATGCTTGCATACTTTTGTTTTCTTGAACAGCTGCTGGTAAGATTAACAAAACTTCGTTTACAGAACATATACATCAGCATTATATAATATTAGTGGGTATCTTTGTCATTTTGTGTGGTCTATGCTAGTAATTAATATGTAAGTTTGTGTAGGTTGGAAAGATGGGTACTGGGGCAATTGCTATATCACTGCCCTTCTCTTGTGTACTTGGCCTCCTTGGGTCTATGACATCTTCCACAATGGGTATGTTGTTAGTATGAAACTATGTAGTAGGATTGATCCTATCATCATTTTCTTTAGAGAAAATTCCCTAAATAGGAATAAAGAAGTTTGAAATTCCAAAATATGACTAACATGTTTTTATTCCCTAAACAGGTGTAATTTTTAACAAGTTTGGCATTATCAGGCTTTAAGCATGACATTTTCTGCCAAGTTTTTCCCAAAATTGGCAGAAATTACTCCTATTTAAGGAAAAAAACATGGATGTCATATTTTGGAATTTCAAAACGTTTTTACTCCTATTCGGGACAATTTCTACTTTCTTTACTTTCTGTCACACTAACCATAAGGCAAAACGCTAAGTATAATAATATTATTATGACATGCAGTATTGAAAAGATTTGTATGGGTGTACGCATCAGTCCAATTTGCATTTGTGGTGCTATTTGCACACATTTTCTATTCTCTGGTAAACATTATACTACTCATCTATTTTGGATACATATATATATATAATCAACCTATCCTTGTTTGAGGTAAGAATGCAAGATTTTTGATGATTAATTAGGACTTTGGATGTTTATTCGAACGCACGTGTATGCATGCAGGTTCATGTGCAAGCAGTTCTTTCGATTCTTCTCTCAATATTTGCAGGCTTTGGTGTGGTAATGGGTGGAAGTTCCATTCTTGTCGAGTATTTCAGATGGTTAAGAAGGCATCGTACTTTGCCTCCTCCAGGCCGGTGGGCGTAAATGTTTGGTCTCGCCGTTAATAGATTTATTGCTTTGATGTATAAGTGGTGTGCGAAATATATACGGAGCGCGCAACATGTTCACTATGGAGCATGTACGTTGGCATATAAATGACCCGGATGCTCTCACATTTTTAGATGAGTGAATCTTGACCATGTATCATGTCAATGTGCTCTGTAGTGAGCACGTTGGCGACTTGGTATGCTCTATATATTTAGTCGAGTGGTGTGCATTATACAAAAGCGTAAATATCAATTTTGGTCAAACGACTTTGGTGCATGTATAGGCTCCTGACCCTATACCTTTTGGTCTTTCGTCCACACTTCCTGACTTCCCCAACGAAAATCAACATGAATGATTATGAGATGTATGCTCTCAAGCTAGGACATCTATAAATAATACATTTCAACGATACAATTTAGGAAATTTTTGTCACATGTCATCTTCTCAAGCAATGGTTCTAATTCTCTACTTAATTGATTCTAATTCTCTTCCGAATTAGAGCAACCGCAATGCTTCTTCTGTCTAGTGAAGGTAAACTATGCCATTTGTCAAACAAGTATAAGACTTTCTAGGCATAGTGGAGTGACTAGGCATTCAATTAAAAATGGAGCCTCCAATGCTTATAGTCTCAAACCCTAATTTTTTACCTTGTATATTACCCGTAGTATTACTTCCTCCACCGATTGTCATATAAAATTCAACTTTTCTCCCTAAATTACCGATCAGATCTGCTCGTCTTCCATATATACTTCGTTTCTTTTCTCTGTTTTTTCATTTGTCCGTCTCTTTCTATAGCTCTCTCCTCCTTCCCCTGTTTGTGTCATCGCGTGGAGAGGAGAGGACACTTAATTTTCTTCCTCTGTGATTTCTATTTCTTCTTCCCTATTATAATTGCGAAGTATTTTTTTATTCTCTGACCGAAGTTGCAGCTTGTGGTGCATGTTTTGATAGGAGTTGGACGCCGATCCTTTGACTGTGCAAGCCCCTCGAGATTCCGGCAGTTTGTTTTTCGCGGTGATATGTACACATCAGCGAGTGAAATTGGCTTTCCACAGGCACATTACTCGTAAAACATGCGTGGTGTACACAAAATATGTACACTTTTTTTGTACACTTGTATGTCCTGCAGACAAGTTGTCTGTCCACCAATATTGATGGTGTTTACCTTTTTTTGCCAACTCACCATAACCGAATACGAGACTACATGCATTGGAAGCAAAATACAATACACAATGTCTTAATTGCTGGCATGACACACTTTACATCCACTAGAAAGAGTAGCATTGTTGTTGCTCTTAGTAGTCCATAATAAACCTTCCTTAGTCCATAATTAATCATAATAGGGGTGGAAACCCAAATTTGAGGTTTTCACCTCCAAATTGAGCTCCAACCCAAGCCAAAATTAGTAAAAGAGGGTCTTTTAGTGGGTTGAGGGAACCCCTGCCCTGGGGTGGGGATATAGATGCCGGATGGACTCTTGGAGAGAGAGAAAAAGAATTCTTTGGTGTATCCATCGAAGAAAAAAAGTGGGCTCCATGGAAACTAAAAATCCCGTTTTTTTTAAATTGGTATAATTTTTATTAATAATCAAATTTTTATAATTAATGTATCCAATTCATATTTTTTTATGATCTTTCATATGACACTGATATCACATATATAAAGTTTAAAAAATATGATGTTTTATCTGATGGAGATCTTTAGGCTCAAAATTTTACTGAAGTAGATCCAAATGTTAAAACAATATCTTGCGCATAATTTTTTTTTACATCTTTTGATTATGTTTCTAAAATATAGGTCTGAAATAACAAAAAAAAATTAAACTCTAAATTTATTTATTTTTACATCGAAATGTTTGAGTTTATTAATCTTAATTATTGGTAAAAATAAAATTGTCACATAAACGATGTAAAATAAAAAATGTAAGGATTTATGCATTTAGTTGAAAAAATATTGATGGTGCTGGATTGCAGAGAAAAACTGAATTGATTTGGTAAATACATATAAAATGGTGGGGAATTAGACTTATTGATGGGCCCGGGTTGCAGTTAGCCTTAAAATTAGCTATTCCGGCACAATTAGAATTCTTTATGATAGACTATAAGTCTAGAGAGAAGTGAGAGCTAGAGAGAGAAGTAATATAATTGCTCTGTATTAATGAATTTGTCAATCCCTACAACTACCTCCAGAGGAAGTATTTATAGGAAAAATGTGGGCTGGGCTCCCAAGCCTTGGGCTTGGGAGGCCCATTTACAACTGGACCGCTATTGGGCCGAATACAAAGTAAATGGTAGAGTATACAAATGATTAAGTGCAAAATCCTGTTCTGGGAGTTCTTTATGGCCGACGAGGGTCTAGCCGATGAGTGCATGGCCGACGAAGACCCGGCCGACGAGGTCACCCGGTTCTTCTGGCTTCCGGATCATATTCTGGGTTGACTTCGTTTCGGCCGATGAGGGTCATCTGGCCGATGAGGGTCCCACTAGGTGACAGTTGTGCCTTCTGTTCTCTTGAGTATGTGGGTCTAGACCCATATACTCCATCAGGAATCCCGCACTCTCTAAGCTGAGATGTAGACGAAGTGAAGGAGAGTAGATTCCTGTTCTTTTCGGGCTTGGCCGTTGCGCGTCCCCAGTTGTGGACGAGAGAGACCCTGGCTATGCGGATGGTCATGTTCTTTGCTTTCTAGGACGATGGGTGCCCTTGCTTGATGGGGGCGATGAAGGTATGCTATCATGAGTGGCCGATATGTGTCTTTGGCATGAGTGACGGTTGTATCTTGTTTGAGGACGATGAGCGCTCTTTGTTTTGTGTGTCGTTGATCACTTATAGTGCCTTTGGCCGAGGCGATGTGTAGTGGTTTGTGTGCCCGAGGTCTTGGGGACGATGATGGTGCTGAGCCGGTAGGCGCTGCATGTCCCCGGTTCTTGGTGACGATGAGCGTGTTGCACTTTTACCCTGGCCGGAGATGGAACTTACAAGGACCTTGAAGCCGCTGTGATGCATTGCCGATATGATCGCGTTTGTAGTTGTGTACGTGTGCGTTTTTTGAATTCTCGTTCTATCTTTGCGTTCTTGAGGCCGATGTAGTCCCTCAGTCCCCCACTCCTTCAAGCTGAAGAGTTTCTGAGGGGTGAAGGAGTAGTTTGAGACCCAGGCCAAAGCGGGATCCTCACGCTGCCCTTGAATCCAACCCTTTGGCGATTTCCTGACCAAGGTAACCCTGTGGGAGAACCCTTGGACGCAGGTCGCTTTCAAAGGGTTATCATCAAGGGTTTTTGTGCGATGGCCTATGGCCGTTAGGTTCCCTTTCCTTATGTTGTTGTGGCCGTTGCGAGGCCCTTCTTTACAGGATATGTATGGCCATTTGACTGGCCGATACAGGTATCACCTAGATAGCCGTTGTCTGTTTTGGCCGTTGAATGCCTTGGCCACTGTAGGTGCTATTTGCCCGTACCTCGAGTCGTAGAGTTTGCCTTGCTGATCTCTGAAGTGGGCTTGGCCCGTTTACGAAGTGGTGGCATCCCATTGGTGGTCGTTGGTGTGGCCACTGGGGTGGTGCCACGTGTAGTGACCGTTGGGGGGCCTATAAATACCCCCTTTCTCCGAAGGGGTTCGCCCATTCGTTTTCAGAGCTAACGAAGTGCTACCCAATTTTCTAGAGAGAGAAAATCCTTGCAAGTGTTCTTTACCTCCTTCAAAACTTCAAGGACAGTTCTTCGACTTTCTCTTCGATTCCTTGCATACTTTGCTCCCCTTAGACTTTGATCCAGTGTTAGTCAAGGAAACGCCTTAGATCTCAAGTAGTTCCCCTTAGGTTTGTAATAGTTGTTATGATGAAGAACTTATACGAAGAGTATTGCCCTTACGATGATGAGCTCTCTGTTAAGTCCCTTGACTTCCGGGTACTGGAGGAGTGTTGCGAGGAGATCGAGGACTTGAGTCCCTTGAGGTCGGGGGAGCAAGTGGACGATGAAGATGCGGACGAGGAAGTCGGCTCGTCGTCTGAGGGTGAAGACGCGGGAGTCTCCCGCGCCGTGGACGGTGCGTCCACCTCCACTGCCATTCCTTGCCCAAAACCGGTTTCCGCCGTTAAGGGAGTAGCTCCGAAGAGGAAACGCCGGCCGAAAAAAGGACCCGGTTTCTCCCAGCTGGACCTTAGTAATATTTACATTATCAAGCCGCAGTGTGGAGCGGCTGACTACCTGGTTGCCCAGATGTACGTAGGGCCCTTTGGTAGGGTTAGGGCTCCTCGGTCGACGGACCACGTACTTAACCCTCCTCCGGGGTATTTTGGGGTGTATCCGATGAGTTTTGCCAAAGGACTTCGGTTCCTACTCCACCCCTTCATCACCGAGTACTTGGATATGGTGGGGCTTCCTCCAGCTTTGTTGTCCCCGAATAGTTACTCCCTGATCGTCAGGTTTCTTCTGCGTTGCGATGAGTTGGGTTACAAGCTGACGACGACTTTATTCATGAACTTGTACCAGATCGGCCGAGGTAGCCATAAGAAATGCACCGGCTACGCCAATCTCCAATAGCTACCGAAGAAGAGGAGCTTCAGTGATCTCCCCACGTCCATTCATGGTTGGAAGTCGAAGTTCATCTTTGTATCGTTGGGTGAGGGGGCACTGAGTTTCCTTCCCTCGACCATAGTGGGGTGTTCAATCTCCACGATACGCCGAAGAGTTCCATTCTGGACGCTCAAGTTGCTGCGTTCCTAGAAGGGGGGCCGAGGAGCGTGAAGGATTATATCACAGAGTATAAGATGACCGCCCTCGGCTTCTTTAGGTTCTTCGTGTATGGTGACAAGGAGGATGATGTCGAGTTGTGGCCGAAGATGACCACTACCTTTGAGGAGGCTGACGGCCCGGATTTGGGGCTACCCGCCGAAGCTGATGGTAATACCTCGCTCATCAGCCTTATTACCTGTTTGTTTCCTTTTCCTCGCTAACTTGTTTTCTTTGGTTGTGCAGACTTTGTGATGGATCGTCGATCCGTTATGAGCAGGGCCAAGGCGAAAGCGGGTGAAGAGCTAGCCACCAAGGCGAAGGCGGAAGAGGTCGCAAAGCTGGCGGCAACAAGTGGGGCACCACCGAGTGCTGATGTGCCGACAAAGCTACCCCCACAGCCGAAGAAGAAACGGCCGGTGGATGGCGGTCAGAAGAAACTTGCTGAGGCTAGTCTGCAGCCCTCTAAAAAGTCAAAGAAGTATGTCACTGATTCCGTGCTTGGGGTTCTGACCGTCCCAGCTGGGGACGAAGGGGGTTCCAGTGCCGCCGCTATGGTGGACCTTACTTCTGGTCCGTCGTTTGACGTTTCTCATCCCCTCCCCCTCGCCCAAGAAACTAGGGCGAAGCGGTCCGGCAAAGAGGTGGCCACCGCCACGTACAAAAAGCAGGTGGAGTATCCCGTGGACGGAGGCGTTTTCAACAAGGTTTTTGACAGCCATGATGTGATTTCTTAGGCCATCCCGTCCAAGGACCGGGTCTACCTCGACAAGCTCGGGAACGTCAGGATCTACGACGGTGGGATGGACCTCGTCGTCCAAGTAAGTCCCTTTTCTTTCACTTTAATTTGTTGTTTTCCTTGATTGCCTTTGTGAATGCATTGTCTAACCATTTCGTCTTTGTAGGGTGCCTTTATGCTCATGGAGAGTAATAAGAGGCAGCAACGGGAGATTGCCCGGCTGAGGGAGATTGAGTAGAAGGTTGCTTCGGCCGAGGAGGCCATGGCTTGCTTAGATCAGTTGAGGGCCGATGTGGCGGACCTGCACAGAAGGTCCGATGAGGCCGATGCGGCCTACCATCAAGTTGTTGCCGCCAGGGATGATGCCCTGGCCAAGCTAGCCGAGGAGAAGGCGGCACGTGAGGCTGACCGCCATCGTGCTGATGAGGCCGAGAAGGCCAAAGCTGATGCTGAGGCTGCCACGGAGAAGGACGCTGATGCTGCCATCAAGAAGTTCTTGGAGGAAGGCTGGAAGGCCGATGAGCACCTGCCTTGGTGCTATGAAGTTGTGGCTGCCAAGCTCGAGGACTGGGGCGAGAACTCCCCTGCCGGCCAGGAATAATTCGAGAGGGAGATGTCGATACACTACGACATGGGCCAACAAAGGATGCAACGGCTCATATACCGTAGGCTGCGCCGGGCCCTCAAGAAGCTGAAGGTTACCCGAAAGTGGGCTAGAAAAAACCTGAGGCTTCCCAAAAATATGAAGGATCCTGAAGTCGAGGCCAAGCTCCCCCCTTCT